CAGAAGCACTGAAACACCTAATACACCTAATACACCATATGAGAACCGTGTCATCTCCACTGACCATACTTGAGAATGGGGAATCTTTATGCTCATCTTATCATTCTCGTGAAACCAAAAAATCTGTTCTGAGAAGAAATTTTATGATGAAATATCCAATCTTACATTAACTTGACATTCTCAAAAAGAGAGAGAAGGGGGGAAAAAAGCACATTCACAAAATGCCTCTTGTTTTCATGACACAAGACAGGAAATAAAGTTCAACAAAATGCAGTGATGATAATGAGGATTATTTAAAAATGGAGCTTATTTAAAAATAAAGCATGCAGAAAACTAAAACTGTTTACTCAACACTCCTTTAACAAAGCTGCTCAACAAATTCCTATCTTTGCAAAGAGCTTGTTGCATTTTCAGACGATGCAGATGTCAAACATTTCTTCCTTATATCAAGTAAAAAATTACCTCCTTGGGCCTCCCTGGTGGCGCAGCGGTTGAGCACTGGGTTGCGAAGCTGCCCGCAGCCTCTGCAGTGCCGGTTCGATCCCCGGCTGCTCCCCGGCCACCAGAGGAGGGTCCCACATGGCGCGCAGACCTCTCCTGCCGCCCGCTGCTCCCCTCAGGAGTGTACTTCGGTCCTTCTGCCTGCTCTGCTCCCCGCTCTGGCTCTGGTGAATTCTCTCACCATCCCGCGCTTCTGACTGTACCCAGTGCTTGTATAAATAAGTAAATAAATATTTAAAAAAAAAATTACCTCCTTTCTATGAGCACCACAAGGTCACTGGTTCTAGTCCCTTACCCGATTACCTCACACACACCCATATTCACAAACTGATATGCACACTTTCCTCCTATAAGACTAGGGATTCTAATGCTCTACACTTTCCAGCCCTTCTCTTCCCTCTGAGGTTCTCTTCTGGTGAATCTTCCTGAGAAGCAAATACAGAAGAGAACCAGGGGTGCCAAACCACAGCCCAGAGGCCAAAGTTGAGCATCGCTGATATCTGCAAACTATGAATATGTTCTACATTTTTCAATGTTTGGGGAAAAAATGTGCAATGGCAATTTTGAAATTTATGGATTACATGTATATAAATAAGTTTCATCAAATCACAGTCAGCTCATTTGTTTATATATCATCTACGGATGTCTCCATGCTACAAAAGCAGAGCTGAGTAATTGCAACAGACACTGCCCTGGTCCACAAGGTCCATAATATTTACTCTCTGACCTTTTACAGAGAACGTATGCTGACCCCCTTGTTTAGGAGAACACTCAAGAGCATTTTTCACCTGGGATAGTCTTTACCATCAATCCTCTCTTCCCTCTGTGGCAATATCAGTCTCTGCACGAAATTACTCTTCACTCAGCAAATTCCACCTCCCGAGCACCCCACAATCTCAGTCACACCTTGAAAGAGCTCATTCCTCTGATGAAGCATGACAACCTGGCCCAAGTCAGGCATCCAGAGAAAACAGTCATAGAATGGATACTGACTCTACAGAAATTCTTAGAAGAAAACATATAACCTAATCAGGATAATTTGGAATTGCATGATTTATCAGTTGCCAATGGTTTGTACCACTCTTTTCCAAATCATGACGATCACATTGTACAAGTTTGAAGTCTATGTAACATCACTCAGCTTCAGTGAAATTTCCGCAATACCTTCGCACGGGACGGAGAGCAGGTCAAGGTCCTTAGAGATAAGCAGAAAGTTGCTCCCTGATGCTTTGATTCAGATTCTATTCAGGTGAATTCAAGTCCTCTGAGGTGAAGCTGTCCAGAGAGAGGGCAGACCCCAACCCTAGGAAAAGTAGAAGCAGATGAACACAGAGCACAGTTGTCATGAACTCGCTGCACTTTCAATTCAATTAAACATTTACTGGGGACCTTTATGTTCCAAGCAACGTGCTGAACCTCCAGGTGACACAGTGACTAATAAATCCCATTCCCACTTCTAGGAGTTCATAGTCTAGAAGTGATATAGGCATGCAGACAAATATATACGTGTGTGTGTATTAAAGTATATTCCCAAAATATTTAACAGGCACTATTAGAGTAATAGGATTATAGATATTTTCTTTAGGTTTGCTTTGTTTATATTTTCCCTTTTATGTAAAACATTAATGACATAGAAAGACAACTTGAAAAGATTATGACGGTGTGACTGATATCACAATAAAGTTATGAAAAGGTACCCAAATAAAACTCCATTTTAGTAATGCAAGAAAGATTTCCTACAGGTTGTCTAAGGTAGGTTTGAAAAATGATTAGGAGTTTGCTAGGCAAATATGAGGAAAGACATACCAAGAAAAGTTATGAAGTGATATGGTATACTCAGGAAAGTCCAAGTAGCTAGCTACTCTTTGAGCATGAAGAACAACAGGAAGAAAGCAGATGAAGTTTGAGAATCCAGATAATAGAGAACCTTCGATACCTTGCAAAATAGCTTCTATTTCTTCCTAAGGTTCTATGGGGCTTGAAATTGAAGCTAGGTTGGCCACAAAGATCTGGCAAACACTTAGGTAAAGATACACAGGGTATCTGCAGCCATTATCCATTCCTAGAGGTAATTATATCATGGAAGATAGCTTAGCTGGAATCATGTAGATAAAAACTTAGCTTAAAATGGGAATTTAACTAGATGATCTTATAAACATCAGTCTCCAATATCCCTGCACCACTCCACTCAACTTCAGTTAAAGTCCATATAATTTGTTATTAATCAATTATGCCACTTTGTTGAATATGCAAAAAGGTCCTTCCACAGGATCCAGAAAAGCTGGCAGGTGGGGCCGATACTAGCCCAGATCTAGGAATTGCTAATGCAATCGCATGATCATTGAAGGAAGGTAAATAACAAGGAGGTAGAGAGGGAGGTGGAGCTGGGCTTGTTTGGGAGTGAATTAGAACATGTGAAAGAGGGCAGCTCCTCCCTAAGATGAACCATTATCCCTTCTATAAAAAGGCCACATCCCCATCAGCAGCACCCTGGAAGCTGCTTCAGTCTACCTCCTGCTTGTTCCTCTGGCCACTAGGTAAGTGAGCAAGACTTGAAAGTTATGAATTATGAGGCAAAGTGGCACTGGACACCAGGCTTCTTTTTAATATAATGTGGGAAATCTGGATGTAAGTTTTACTTAACTGAGAAAGAAAAAGAAGAGACAGTAAATACTTAATTTGGGGTCATTGTTTTGAACTCTGCCCACCATGCCTGGTGACCTCTTGTCCTGTTCTGTTCCTAGGCCTCCTAACCTCAGAGCCCTTAGGATATTTAATGTCTGCCAGTTTTTAAATGTTTTACATTATCAAATTGTCTACCATGTAAATGCCTAGCATTTCTTTTTATAGTTCTGACTCACTTTGCTCTAGATAATTCTCTTCAATATCCTGATTTTGTTGAAAATGTCTTCATTACATCCTTTCTTGTGTCTAGATAATTCTCCGTATTTGGATATACCCATCTTTTTTATTCATTCATGCCTACATGAACTTTTAGGCCACTCCATATCTGAACTATTGAAAATAATGCTGCTTTGAATGTTGTGAAGCATAGAGAGGACTTTGCTGATAATTTCATATTCCATGAATATATGCCCAATAGTGGGATTCTGGGCATTGCATTCGTGGCATTGCCAATTTTAGATTCGAAGCTAAATCCAGATAGCTTTCCATAATGTTTTCACCAGTTCACATTCCCACAAACAGTATAAAAGGGTTCTCTTTCTCCACATCCGGTCCACCACTTGTTGCTGGGGGTCTACTGAATATGTTCCATTCTCACAGGTGTGAGGTAGTATCTCATTGTAGTTTTAATCTGAATAATTCTAATTAGAAGTGATGATGAACCTTTCTTTATGTATCTTTTGTCCTGGATATCCTCTTCAGTGAAATGTCCATTCATATCCAGTGTCCATTTCTTAACTGAGTTTGTATTTTCATTGTTGAATTGCATGTTTCTGATAGATCTTGGGTACTACTCCCTTATCATCTATATATTTGTGTGAATAGTTTATCCCACTCAGTATGGTGCCATTAATTGTACTGTATTTTCTTTCCCTGGAGAGAAGTTTTTAAACTTGAGGTAATCCCAATTGTTTATTTTGTTTTTAACTCCTAGCCTTAACAGCTGAGTCACCAAAAATATCATCACTGTTGATATCATGGAACATATCACCAATGATTACTTCTTCTCATTGCAGGTCTTATATCTTTTACCTATTTGGAGTTTATTTTTGTGTGTGTTGTCTATGAGTAATCCAACTTCATACTTTCATGTGTGGTTTTCAATGATCTCATCACCATTTCTTAGAGATTGTCATTTGGGGATTATTTTCTTAAAAATCCCAGGGCTATACCCACCAGACATGTTGGCTTCTTCACTCTTGAGCTTTTTCTCTGTTGTGTAGTCAGTAAAGTCTGAGGTTTAGTTCCTCCTTGGAGAATGAAAACAGAATGAGTCTGACAGAAGCTACCCCAAGCTCCCTATCACTGAGGCATGTGGTCGCCTTTCCCTAGTTTGTTTCTTTTGCTGACCTGGAAGTCTTAAGGGTCCAGCTTAGCCACTGGTACTTCAGAGTTGGAGTCAGGCTCACCATGTAGATTATGGACCTGTCCCTGGTTGGGACCCAGAGAGAAATGAAGAAGTAGATAAATTAGTAAATCCACAATTTCTAAAGTTCCAGAACAAAAATTTCATAAAGTAACCCTGGTAGAATCAGGGAGTCCAAAACACAAAGTCAGAGCTCCACAATCACTCATGAATGGAAATAAACAACGCACATTCTGTTCCTAATTTCATCACTTTCTTGCCACATGGCTTGAAGAGTCATTCAACTCTGAATTGGTTCTTGATTACAACAGGATATAATTAACCATGCATTACTGATTCTAAACAATTATTAAAAATGATCGGAACTATTTATATATGTAAAAAAGGAAAAAACAATAAAATATGGCTATATCTTACTCCTAATTCCCTTGTAGGTCAATTAAAATACAAAAAGATGCCTAAGCTCCTACAAAGCATGGTCACTGTCATCGATGTCTTCTATGAATATGCCAGCCAAGATAAGGAGTGTGACATGTTAAAGAAGGATGAAATGAAGGCACTTTTGGAAAATGAGTTTCATCAAATTCTGAAGGTAATAACACCATGTCAGGACTGAAGACAGCTGCAATTTTCTGCTCACACTTCCTATCTTCTGGTCACATAACAAACTCCTAGACAATTCTCTCTACTTGTTGACCAAGAACAGGGTTTGATAAAGGCATGAGATAAGGTCAGACATTCTTTGTAAACATCAGCTGAGATCCATATATTAAATAATAAGCCGTTTATGTGAGTGATTCCTATAGAACTAAAACTGAGATGGTCCTCAGAAAAACTGCAAGTGAAATGCATCTTGTTCTCTTCCTTTGTCTTTCTTCAACACAGAACACCCTTACCACTGCCCATTTCTGAGATTCCAGTACTATAAAATGCTAATAGGAAATTAGCATTTCACTTTCAAATCATTAGATAATCATACTACCACCTTAAAAATGTAACTTCGGAAAATAATATGGAAACCTATGTCTACCTTTCTAACTTTAAATTTGTAAATACAGCTGCCTGGTGAATATTTTTCTTAGATTCCTATGGGTGTCTTAAAGTCGGTATGTCAGATCAAAGAATCATGAATTTCCCCTCTGAACTCCTTGCTCCTACTTGCCCAAGACAGAAATTTGGTGCCATTCTAACTTCTTCTCTCAAAAAGCACCACCAACTTCCATCTAACTCATTAATAAATGCCAAAAAAGCCAATTTCGCTCCATGAGTCGTGCTAATCCTCTGCTTCAAGCCAACTCCTACTTTCAATCTCAACACTGGGTAAAATTCAATCATTTCACAACTCACTTCAAAATTTTTCAAAGAACTCCCAGCTCTTTCAAGAAAAAGTTCAAAGTTGAAAAGACATGATCTGCTCCATATCTTTCTCTACTAAGATTGAATGTAGCAATCCTGAATATCTTTGACTTCTTATATTAACCTTTTCTTACTTCCAGCTCTTTATTCACATCTTCCCTCTGCCCAGACAATTTTTTGAACCCCTGTCCTCCTTTCCTTTACTCTTTGTTTGGCTAATTTCAACCTATCCTTCAAAAGATGTCACTTCCTCTCATGAACCTTCCTTGAATGGCAGTGATTCTCCTCTGGTGTTTTCTCCAAGAACAATTAAACTATCTTGTAATTAAGTATGTGTGTTGGTCCATTAAGCTTTAAATTCAGTTTTGTCAGAAATCAAACTGTTCACCACTTTATCCTCTCTACCTAACTCAATACTAGGAGGGTAAGAGTCTATAGCAAATCTTTGAGTTACATAGTTACTTCAATGACTCAAATGATGATTATGTAATTCACCCAGGTATTCAAAGTTATTATTTACAGATTATGTAATGATTCAAATCTGACCCACTCCTTACGAAAAAATAATTATCTTTTTCCCTGTCATCTTCCAGTTACAACTTCTAACCATATCTCACTGCATCATTCATTGAATATTTCTTTCTCTCATTCTGAACAAATTCAGCCTAAAGGTCTATGTGATAGAGCTCTTCCTAAAGAGGCAAGAACTCCCATTTGTACAGCCTTCTTTCAACCGGTTAGTTCAATGAAGTCCATACTGACAGAACTGCCCTTTATATCTTGTTCCTAATCAGAATCCAGATGATCCAGACACCGTAGACATCATCATGCAAAGCCTGGATCGAGACCATAACAAGAAAGTGGATTTTACTGAGTATCTTCTGATGATATTCAAGCTGGCACAGGCTTGTAATAAAATTGTCAGCAAAGATTACTGCCAAGCTTCAGGGTCAAAGCAGAGAGACCACAGTCATTGGCACCAAGAGGAACAGAGTGAAACAGAAGATGAGGACAAAACACAAAGAAGGTCTTCCACTCATTCAAGTTGTAATGCAGGAGAGAGTGATTCCTATTCCAGGGGCTCCAGAGGGATCACTAAACACAGGCCTGGATCCAGCTGTGGAAGAAAGGAGCAGCAAAGAGACCGGTCTAGTTCTGGGAACAGGCAAAGCTCTGGGGAAAGGAGAGAGTCAAGCTCAGGACGCCTCAAGGATAAGAAAAACAAACATGGCTCTCATCAGCAAGCATCTACTCATTATAGCAACTGTAAAAAAAGATCAAACTCAGCAAATCAGTCAGAGAGTAGTGGAGAAGAAAGGAATGCATACTCTTCAGAGGATCAGTCTTATAGTTCTGACCAATACTGTTCTGATTCAAATGAATCCTCACGGAATAGACAACATAAGAAGAAATCGAAACAATCCCCTCGTAGGCAGCATCATGGATTCAGCTCAGGCAGTTGTGAAGGACAAGACGACTGGTCAAGTTCAAATGAAACTACTGGTTGTGGTCATGGCCATGGCTCGGGTCAGTCCTCTAGTTCTGATGAACATGGGCCTGGCTCAGGTCAGTGTTCTAGCTGTGTCCAACAGGGATCCAGCTCTGGTCAGTCTTCTGGCTATGGTCAACATGAGTCAAGTCAGTCTTCAAGTCGTACGCAACGTGGGTCTAGTTCAGGTCAGTCTTCTAGCTGTGGCCAACATGGATCAGGATCAGGTCAGTCCTCCACTTACGGAAAACATGGTTCTGGATCAGGTCAATCTTCGAGCTGTGGCCATGGACAACAGGGGTCAACTCAGTCTTCTACCCATACACAACATGGCTCCAGCTCAATTCAGTCTCCTAGCCCTGTTCAATATGGGTCTGGATTAGGCAAGACCTCTAGTTCTACTTCAGAACAGTCATCAAGCTGTGGCAAACATGGATCCAGCTCTGGACAGACTTCAAGCTATGGACAACATGGGTCAAGTCAGACTTCTAGCCACAGACAACAAGGCTCTCACTCAGGAGAGTACTCAAGCTCAAGTGAACATGATTCAGCAGCAGATCAGTCATCTACCTCTGGTCAACATATGTCAGGCTCAGGTCAATCTTCCAGTTGTGGCCAGCATGGACCAATCCAAAGTCAGTCTTCTGGCTATGGACAACGTGGGCCAAGTCAATCCTCTAGTGATAGAAAACATGGCTCTAGCTCAGGTCAGTCTTCTACCTCTGGCCAATATGGGTCTGGATCCAGCCATTCTTCCACTTATGGGCAACATGGTTCTACAACAGGAAAGCCATCAAGCTGTGGCCAACACGGCTCTAACTCAGGTCAGTCAGCTAGCTCTACCCAAAATGGGTCCGGATCGGGGCAGAGTTCTACATGTGGCAAACATGGACATAACTCTGGTCAGTTTTCTGGCTATGGTCAACATGAATCAAGTCAGTCTTCGAATCTTGGGCAAGCTGGGTCTAGTTCAGGTCAGTCTTCTAGCTGTGGCCAACATGGCTCTGGATCAGGTCAGTCATCCACTTATGGACAACACAGTTCTAGATCAGGTCAATCTTCTAGCTGTGGCCAACATGAATCTAGCTCTGGTCAGTCTTCTGGCTACGGTCAACATGGGGCCACTCAGGCTTCTAGACATAGACAACAGAATTCTGGCTCAGGTCAGTCCTCCACCTCTGGGCAACATGGGTCTCACTCAGGTCAGTTATCTACCTGTGGGCAACATGGATCCAGCTCTGGTCAACAGACCAGCTCTGGTCAGTCATCTGGCTATGGTCAACATGAGTCCAGTCAGTCTTCGACTCATAGGCGACGTGGGTCTAGTACAGGTCAGTCTTCGAGCTGTGGCCAAAATGCTTCTGGATCAGGTCAGTCCTCCACTTATGGACATGGTTCTGGATCAGGTCAGTCTTCCAGCTGTGGCCAACAGGGATCTAACTCTGGTCAGACCTCTGGCTATGGTCAACATGAGTCAAGCCAGTCTTCAAGTCACAGGCGACGTGGGTCTAGTTCAGGCCAGTCTTCTAGCTGTGGCCAGCACAGTTCTAGATCAGGTGAGTCCTCAAATTATGGACAACATGGTTCTGGATCAGGTCAGTCTTCTAGCTGTGGCCAACATGGATCTACCTCTGGTCAGACTTCTGGCTATGGTCAACATGAGTCAAGCCAGTCTTCGAGTCACAGGCGACATGGGTCTAGTTCAGGCCAGTCTTCTAGCTGTGGCCAGCATAGTTCTGGATCAGGTCAATCCTCCACTTATGGACAACATGGTTCTGGATCAGGTCAGTGTTCCAGCTGTGGCCAACAGGGATCCAGCTCTGGTCAGTCTTCTGGCTATGGTCAACATGAGTCAAGTCAGTCTTCGAGCCATAGGCGACGTGGGTCTAGTTCAGGTCAGTCTTCTACTGGTGGCCAACCTGCTTCTGGATCAGGTCAGTCCTCAACTTATGGACAACATGGTTCTGGATCAGGTCAGTCTTCTAGCTGTGGCCAACACGGATCTAGCTCTGGTCAGTCTTCTGGCTATGGAAAACAGAGGTCCTCCCAATCATCTAGCCATAGACAACAAAGCTCCGGTTCAGGTCAGTCCTCAAGCTCTGGCCAACATGGGTCTGGATCTGGTCAGTCTTCCAGCTGTGGCCAACAAGGATCCAGCTCTGGTCAGTCTTCTGGCTATGGTCAACATGAGTCAAGTCAGTCTTCAAGTCATAGGCGACGTGGGTCTAGTTCAGGTCAGTCTTCTAGCGGTGGCCAACATGCTTCTGGATCAGGTCAGTCCTCAACTTATGGACAACATGGTTCTGGAACAGGTCAGTCTTCTAGCTGTGGCCAACATGGATCTAGCTCTGGTCAGTCTTCTGGCTATGAAAAACAGAGGTCCACCCAATCATCTAGCCGTAGACAACAAAGCTCTGGTTCAGGTCAATCCTCAAGCTCTGGCCGACATGGTTCTGGATCTGGTCAGTCTTCTAGCTGTGGCCAACAGGGATCCAGCTCTGGTCAGTCTCCTGGCTATGGTCAACATGAGTCAAGTCATTCTTCAAGTCATAGGCGACGTGGGTCTAGTTCAAGTCAGTCTTCTAGCGGTGGCCAACATGCTTCTGGATCAGGTCATTCCTCAAATTATGGACAACATGGTTCTGGATCAGGTCAGTCTTCTAGCTGTGGCCAACATGGATCTAGCTCTAGTCAGTCTTCTGGCTATGAAAAACAGAGGTCCACCCAATCACCTAGCCATAGACAACAAAGCTCCGGTTCAGGTCAATCCTCAAGCTCTGGTCGACATGGTTCTGGATCTGGTCAGTCTTCTAGCTGTGGCCAACAGGGATCCAGCTCTGGTCAGTCTTCTGGCTATGGTCAACATGAGTCAAGTCAGTCTTCAAGTCGTACGCGACGTGGGTCTAGTTCAGGTCAGTCTTCTAGCGGTGGCCAACATGCTTCTGGATCAGGTCAGTCCCCAACTTATGGGCAACATGGTTCTGGATCAGGTCAGTCTTCTAGCTGTGGCCAACATGGATCTACCTCTGGTCAGTCTTCTGGCTATGGAAAACAGAGGTCCTCCCAATCATCTAGCCATAGACAACAAAGCTCCGGTTCAGGTCAGTCCTCAAGCTCTGGCCGACATGGGTCTGGATCTGGTCAGTCTTCCAGCTGTGGCCAACAGGGATCCAGCTCTGGTCAGTCTTCTGGCTATGGTCAACATGAGTCAAGTCAGTCTTCAAGTCATAGGCGACGTGGGTCTAGTTCAGGTCAGTCTTCTAGCGGTGGCCAACATGCTTCTGGATCACGTCAGTCCTCCACTTATGGACAACATGGTTCTGTATCAGGTCAGTCCTCTAGCTGTGGCCAACATGGGTCTGGCTCTGGTCAGTTTTCTAGCTGTGGCCAACATGGATCCAGCTCTGGTCAGTCTTCTGGCTATGGTCAACATGAGTCAAGTCAGTCTTCAAGTCATACGCGACGTGGGTCTAGTTCAGGTCAGTCTTCTAGTGGTGGCCAACATGCTTCTGGATCAGGTCAGTCCCCAACTTATGGGCAACATGGTTCTGGATCAGGTCAGTCTTCTAGCTGTGGCCAAAATGGATCTAGCTCTGGTCAGTCTTCTGGCTATGGAAAACAGAGGTCCTCCCAATCATCTAGCCATAGACAACAAAGCTCCGGTTCAGGTCAGTCCTCAAGCTCTGGCCGACATGGGTCTGGATCTGGTCAGTCTTCCAGCTGTGGCCAACAGGGATCCAGCTCTGGTCAGTCTTCTGGCTATGGTCAACATGAGTCAAGTCAGTCTTCAAGTCATAGGCGATGTGGGTCTAGTTCAGGTCAGTCTTCTAGCGGTGGCCAACATGCTTCTGGATCAGGTCAGTCCTCCACTTATGGACAACGTGGTTCTGTATCAGGTCAGTCCTCTAGCTGTGGCCAACATGGGTCTGGCTCTGGTCAGTTTTCTAGCTGTGGCCAACATGGATCCAGCTCTGGTCAGACTTCTGGCTATGGTCAACATGAGACCTTTCAGTCTTCGAGTCACAGGCAACATGGGTCTAGTTCAGGTCAGTCTTCCAGCAGAGGCAAACATGGTTCTGGATCAGGTCAGTCTTCTAGCTGTGGCCAACAGGGCTCTAGCTTTGGTCAGTCTTCTGGCTATGGACAACACGGGTCCACTGAGTCTTCGAGCCAAGGACAATATGGCTCTGCTTCAGGTCATTCCTCCAGCTCCAGACTACATGGGTCTGGATTGAACCCATCCTCTAGTTCTACTTCAGGACAGTCATCAAGCTGTGGCCAACAAGGATCTAGCTCAGATCAGTCTCCTAGCCATGGACAATATGGTTCTGCCTCCAGTCAGTCCTCTTGCTCTGGCCCACATAAATCTAGCTCAGGTCAGCGTTCTAGCTCTGGCCAATGTGGATCTAGCTCTGGTCAGTCGTCTGGCTATGGACAAGCTGGGTCCACTCAGTCTTCTAGCCATAGACAACAAGGCACTGGTTCAGGTCAAACCTCAAGCTCTGGCAAACTTGGTTCTGGGTCTAGACGGTCCTCTAGTTATGGGCAACATGGTTCTACTTCAGGACAGTCATCAAGTTGTGGACAACATGGATCTAGCTCTGGTCAGTCTGGTTATGGTCAACGTGGCTCAAGTCAGTCTTCCAGCCATCAACAACATGGCTCTGGCTCTGGCCCGTGTTCAAGCTGTGGCCACTATGGGTCTGGATCCGGTCAGTCCTCCAGCTCTGGACAACATGGATCTAGCTCAGGTCAGTCTACTTATGGTCAACATGGCTCTGGTCAGTCCTGTAGCCACAGCCAGTATGGGTCTGGCTCATTTCAGTCTTCCAGCTGTGGCCAACAGGGATCAGGCTCAGCTCCATCCTCTACCTATGATCAACACTGGTCCAGTTCAAGTCATTCTTCTAGCCATAGCCAACCTAGTTCTGGCTCTGAAAGATATGGGGCTGATTCACGTCACTCCTCCACCTCTAGTCAACGTGGCTCCAGATCTCGTCAGAATTCTGGCTCTGACCAGTCTGGATCTGGCTCATGTCGTTCATCTTGCTCTGAACAAGGTGGTTATGGATCTGATCAATCTTCTAGTTATGACAAACAAAAATGCCAAGGGAGAAGTAGGTCAAGTTCAAGTGGAACTCATGATGAGTACAGTAGACCCAGAAGGGGCTCAACCCCCAATCAATCAAGGAGAAGTAGCCAGGAGTGGTCAGGGTACAGTCAAAATGAAAGAAGTGGCACTGACAGCCTTTCAGGTAGTGAGTCTGATGGATGTGAGAGTACCAATAGACCGTCAAGAACATGGAGTCAAGGAAGTCAAGGAAGCAGTCAGGATCAGTGGGAATCTGGCTGTAGCCAGTCAAAGAGTAATCAAGGGCAATCAAGAAGGGGTTCCACACAAGTAGGAAGCTCCTCAGGTTGTGGCTCTGGACAATTCACACCCTCTTCTGGACAGTCTACATCCAACACTACCACTACACTAATTCGCAAGGAAGATAATTTACAAGGTAGCTACAGTTATCAGAGTGGAGGAGGTAACTATGGAGGGGGAAGTATCAGTTCAAGTTCCCAAGGCTTCTCTAGTAGCACGCCACTCTATGAATATGTCCAAGAACAGAGGGGCTAGATTTAGAGAAGAACAATAAAGAGAGTGGAATTAACTCAAGCAGCAATGTAAGAAACATAACACAAGCAATGTAGACAAAGTAATTCATTAGGAAACTTCTTTCTAAAAGTACATATATCTGATCTGTTCTATCTTCTTTTAAACATGTAACTGTATTCTACCCTTGTTATGGGGTCTTTACAAAGAATGTAGGGGTTTGGGCTACTTTGTTAGAAAATACTGAATTGGATAATGTGTGGGGCTAAATTTGGAAGAATATTAAAAAAGCATTTAAAGAGCTTGGGGTTCAGTTAAGTTCTTTTTGAGAGTTCACAGCTCATTACCGATGCCAAACCTAAGCATACATCTTTAAAGGACAAAAAATTATAATTTCATTACCAGTTCTGGAGACAAGTTTCACTTGTAGCAATCAGACCTAATAATTTCTGGGGTGATCGCACATTTTGATGATGTTAAGACCAAGAAGACCCCAAAAGCAAGATGTAGCAGTTGGTTTGCTTAGCAAAAACCCCAACCCCCTACTCCTGGGTGTATCTTTAATAACAACCTAGTCAGAGGTATTAAAAAGTGACATGCAGTGCCACTCCCTAGCCAGTGAGTGACAGCATTATTTCTTAAAGAGCAGGGTCAGTTCAGGGTCCAAATGGGGGCTCTGATTTGGATATGCAAAGGAAGAACTCAGCCCCTGCTCCTAAGAATTTCCTCCAAGATGAAAATCTTTGGAAGCACAACAGCATGCAAACATAATGGCTCCAACCTACTTCTGTAGTTCATTGGCCTTTCCACCAACAGGAAAAACCCTTTGTGCCCAAATGGAAGAGAAGAGTGTTTGTCACTAACTATACTTCCTTGGTTTGACTATATCATATCTTTTTCCTACTTTGGATGAAAAATAACTAGATTGCATTAAAATTAAAAATAAATAACGGTGATGAAATGCTGAGGTTTGTCTCATCTGTGTTATTTCACTTCCACACACCTGTGGTCACACTAGAAACTAACTCATATTCCTCGCTTCCATGTTACTGTCCTTCACAAGCAACCCAGTAAATATAGCAATTTTTCAATAAATGAAACAACTCAACATTAAAATTACAAAAGATTTGATTGGCTGCTTGACCAAAAAGAGAGAAATAGGTAATAATCACAGGAAAAGAACTCAGTCATTGGTCTTCAGGGAACTACAAGTTAAACATAATTAAATCATAATAAGATACAACCTGTAACCATTAGAATGACGAAAATTAAAAAAAACTGGCAACACCAGGACTTGGTAATGCTTGAGGAAAACAATGGCACATATTAAAAAAACTAGCAACAACAAATGTTGGCGAGGTTGTGGAGAAAAAGGAACTCTTCTGCACTGTTGGTGGGAGTGCAAACTGGTCCAACCACTATGGAGAGCTGTGTGGAGATTTCTGGACCTACTAAACATAGAGCTTCCATATGATCCAGCAATTCCAATCCTAGGTATTTACCCAAAGGACACAGAAACATCAATTCCAAAGAACACCTGCACCCCTATGTTTATAGCAGCACTATTTACAATAGCTAAGCTTTGGAAACAGCCCAAATGCCCAAAAATAGATGAATGGATCAAGAAGATGTGGTACATATATACCATGGAATATTACTCAGCATTCAAAAAAGATAAACACATGCAATTTGCAGCAACGTGGATGGCGCTGGAAGGGATCATGCTCAGCGAAATAAGCCAAAAAGAAAAAGAAAAATACCGGATGGTCTCACTCATAGCAGGAATCTAGAAAACTTAAATAAGGGACCAGGAAAATGAATAACTATAAGAAAGTGAAAATCAAAATCAACAAAAAACTATGAACCAGAGACACTTTTTGGGGGTGGGGGCTGGGAGGGGAGGGATTGGGGTCAGAATGGGGGGTTTGCAATTGTATGGGGGAATATAAAAATAAAATTTATTATTTAAAAAAAAAAGAAAACAAATTGATTCAGTTACTTTGGAAACAGTGTACAATTTCTTATAAAGCTACATATACTTGACTACATGAACCAACAATTCTACTTCTAGATGAATGAAAACATTTGCCCATGTGAAGATTTTCACATAAATGTTCATAGCAGCTTTAATAATACTCTCCCTAAACTAAAAACAACCCATATGTCCACCAACCAATGAATAAATAAACACAATACACAATGGAATATGATTTAGCATAGAAATGAGCTTCTGTAACAATGAAATAGATGAGCCTCACAAACATTACAGTGAACAAAAGTCAAACACAAATACCTACTGCCTGCTGCTATTCATATGAAACTATAAAGACAATATAAAAATTAGAAGTAGAAAAAAGGTTGAATAGGGCTGGGTGTAGAATTTATAAATTGGCTACAAAAAGGAACAAAAGGAAATAAGTGACTGCTTATTCCACATGGAAATGTTTTTTGTCAAAACTCACTGTATTGTGTACTTGAAATGTGTAAAAAAGTTGCGCTTGTTTAAGATTTCCATGTAGCTTTTGTGAAACTTGACATACAAATTCTGAAACTTTATATAGAAAAGCAAAATCTCAAATGTGGCTGGGACAATTTTTAAGCTAAAAAAAATAAAAGAAATGTCATCTTACCAGATACAAAAACAATTAAAGGTTACATTTTTTAACTGATGTAAGGACTGACATACCGAAAAATCCAGGAACATACCAAAGAATATCTGGTGTAAACATGGCTCTGCATATATGGGGGAGAAAAATAAGTCCAACTAATATTACCAAAATATTTTTTTAATTATATCCATTTCATACCACATACAAAATCAAATCCAAGAGTTAAAATTAAAAGTATAATCAGGGCCTCCCCAGTGGCGCATCGGTTGAGCACTGGGTTGCGAAGCTGCCTGCAGCCTCTGCGGCACCGGTTCGATCCCCGGCTGCTCCCCGGCCACTGGAGGAGGGTCCCGCATGGCACGCAGACCTCTCCTGCCGCCCGCTGCTCCCCTCAGCAGTGTACTTTGGTCCTTCTGCCTGTTCTGCTCCCCGCTCTGGCTCTAGTGAATTCTCTCACCCTCCCGTGCTTCTGACTGTACCCAGTGCTTGCATAAATAAATAAATAAATCTTTAAAAAAAATAAAAGTGTAATCAGTCTCTTATCTTTAAAGAAAATATAGCAGAACATGGTTATGACTTCAAAGTAAGAATGGCTTTCTTAAACAAATACAAAAAACAAAAAGAAAAATTTCATGAAAGTTGTCAAAATTAAATTCTACATATCTGCAAACCTAAGGACATTCTCAAAGTGTTATAAGGACAACCACCAATAAAAATAAAATGTCGGGACCTCCCTGGTGGTTTAGGGCTTAGGCTCAGTGCTAACACCGCCATGGCCAGAGTTCAATCCCCCACCAGGGAGCTAACCCAGATGGCCTAGCAGACCTCTCGTGTCATGCCCACTGCTCCCCTCAGCAGTGTATTTCAGTAGATCTAACTGTTCTGCTCCCCACTCTGTCTATGGTGAATCCTCTCACCCCCTGCACCTGTGGCGTACACTCTAGTTCTTGTATGCATAAATAAAAATAAATCTTAAAAAAAAAGAATAAAATGACTGCAATGAATATAAACAATATGTGATCCATACCCAGATTGCACAAAGAATTTATAAATATCAAACTAGGAACAAGCAGCAAAAACTTATAAAAAGTAATTCACCAAAACAGATACTAAATTAGCAAGTGACATTTTTAAAATGACCATCAGGAGAACAGATATTTAAAACATAATGAAATACTTTAATACCCACTGGATTAGAAAATACTAAATTGTACCAATGACCACTGTTGCTAGAATATGGATCAATGAATGTGTAAGCTGGTAACCACTTAGGAAGCAAATTGACAACCATTAGAGTCAGCAAAGTGTTGCAAACAATTTAAAAATGGTCACCAAAAAAAAACAGATAAATAAACTGTGACTTGGCTATATACTAAAATACTACATAGCATTTTAGTTTTGTTGTTTAGTTTAGTTTTGTTGTTAAATCAACAAAAGAAGGAGGAGCAATATGTGATATTTGGGCATGTGGGGGACTTTGAGCTAAAAGTATTCACGGCCTGTAAGACTCGGGAAGAATTTTTGTTTCCTTTCCCTTAATTCTGTGACAGAACTTTGATAGGGAACCTGTATCAGGAAGAGGGCTATTACCACAGATAACCTTTTATGTCAGGAAGACTTGTAACAGCGTAGGGCAAACATTTCTTCACTACACATTGGTTCATCTCATCTTTCTATAAATTATTTTCTTCCCCTTTGCATTCGCATCTCCTTATCTGCTTTTCCTTACCTCAGGATGGCACAGAAGCCTCAACAGCCTGACTTCCAGGGAGTCATATTTTCATGGAGCTCCTGTACCTACAAAATGAGGTTTTCCTTTTGTTAATCTGTCTTATATTAACTGAATTATTAGTCCAAAACACCTAAAAGGAAATTATTTTCCTCCTCTACAACATACATAGCTCAGTATGCACAAGTCCCCAAAATAGAATGCTGAGTAAAACAGTTATGAAACACGTATATACTGGTATGACACCATTACTACAGTCTTACAATATACACAATAGTGCCATGTATAGTTTGCAGTGAATACATATTTGGTAAATGCAAAAAAAAAAATATTTATGGGAATGTTCAACACCAAATTCAACATGGTGGTAGCTCTGGAGAGAGGAAAGAAAATGGGATTGAAGGAATAAACAAGACCAAACATTTCCTTAAGCAAGATGATGTTTTGTATATTTTTCCCTACATATTCTTGTAAAGCTCAAATGATAGCACGAGAAATAGCATCTCACAAAGTTCATCAATGCCCAATGACTCAAATGCTTAATGGAGAAAGTGCTCTCACAAGCCTGACCACTGGCAAATCTGGTCCAGCACATCCCAGCTGCTTAATAAAGAATTCAGCCCATGATTGCCTGATGATATTCATCCTGTGATTCCCACAAACATGTCACTCAGACTTACAACTCACAAGAGAGCATTCTGAAACCTTTGGCTCCCTATAATTTTATGAAAAGAAGAAGGCACACATTAGCCAGATTAATAAAGACCCAGACAGACCTTGTCTAAACCTTCCCAAAACCATTGATCACACTTTTGAGGAGGGTATCTTTATGACCACACTATCATTCTGGTAAAATAAAAAATCTCTTTTGAAAAGGATTTTTGTGATAAAACAATACAACCTTTACATTAATTTAATTCTCAAAAACAGAGATGGGGGAAATGTGCAATCACAAAATGCCTCGTTTTCATGACACAAAACAGGGTGTAAAGTTCAAACAGTGATAATAATGAGACTAATAATGAAGCATGAAGAGAATTAAAACTGTTTACTGAACACATGAAAGTTCCTTTAATATAGCTGCTCAATAAATTCATATTTTCACAAAGAGCTCATAGCTTTTTCAGACAATACAGATGTTCAACATTTCTTCCTTAATCAAGTAAAAATTTACCTCCTTTCTATGAGCATCACAAGGGCTCTGGTTCTAGTCCCTAACATAACCCCTCACACACACACACCCACATTCACAAACTGATATGCACATTTTCCTCTCACAAGACCTAGGGGTCTTGATGTCCCACACTTTCCAGCCCATCTCTTCCCTCCATAATTCCCTTCTCCTGGTGAATCCATCTGACAAGCAAATACAGAGGAGAACCAGGGGTTTCAAACCAAAGTCCAGAGCCAAGCTGTACATCACCAATGTCTGCAAACCATGAATGTGTTTTAAATGGTAGTGGAAAAAAATGTGACAAAGGCAATTACAAAATTAATGGATCATATGTGGACAAATAAGTTTCATCGACACAGTCATGCTCTTTTGTTTACATATCATCTACGGATGTCTCCATGCTACAAAAGCAGAGCTGAGAAACTGCAACAAACACTGCCTGGTCCAAAATGTCCGCAATATTTACTCTCTGACCCTTTAGAGAAAACATCTGCTGATCCCCTTGTTTAGGAAAACACTCAAGAGCATTTTTCACCTAGTCTTTACCATCAATCCTCTCTTCCCTCTGTGGCAACATCAATCTCTACGCAAAATTACTCTTCACTCAGCAATTCTACCTCCTCGGCATCCCACAATCTGTCACACCTTGAAAAATCTCATTCCTCTGATGAAGCATGACAACGTGGCCCAAATCAGGCATCCAGAAAAAACAGTCATAGAATGGATACTGACTCTACAGACATTCTTAGAAGAAAACATATAACCTAATCAGGTTAATTTGGAATTGGGTGATTTATCATTTGCTAATGGTTGCTACCACTCCTTCCCAAAACATGCCAATCGCGTTGCACATACCATCATGGGTGTAGTATCTTTGCAGCGGATGGAGGCAGGTCAAGATCCTTAGGGATAAGCAGAAAATCACTCATTGACACTTTGATTAAATTCTATTTAGGTGAACTCATGTCCTCTGTGGTGAAGTTGTCCAGAGAGATGGGAGACCCTAATCCTGGGAAAAGTAGAAGCAGATGAACACAGAGCACGTTCGTCATGAACTCGCTGCAATTTCGATTCAATTCAGCATTTACTGGGACCCTTATGTGCCAAACAATGTGCTTAACCTCCAAGTGGCATGGCCACTAATAAAGCCCATTCCCGATTCTCAAATACTTCATAGTCTAGAAGTGATAGAGGTATGCAGACAAATATATACATGTATGTGTGCGTGTGTGTATGAAAGTATATACACAAAATTCTTAACATTAGCTATTACTGAGTAGAAGGAATATAGGTTTTTTTGGATTTACAAAATCTATTTTTCCTAGCTTTTATATAAAACATGAATGACAGAAACACAATTTGAAAAGATTGTAATAGTGTCACTGGTATCAGACCAAACTTACTAAAAAGCACACAATTATAATCCTTTTTAGTATTGCAGAAAGATTTCCTATAGGTTGTCAAAGTAGGTTTGAAAAATGATTAAGCTTGCTAGGTAAATAATGAGGAAAGACACATCAAGAAAAGTTATGAAGCAACATGGTATATTCAGGAAAGCTGAAGTAGTTAACTACTGCTAGAGCATAGAGAACAATAGGAAGAAAGCAGATGGAGTTTGACAGAACCCGGATAATTAACACCTGTGGAAAACTGGCAAAACAGTTTTAATTTCTTCCTAAGGTTCTATGGGGCCTAATATTGAAGCTACATTGACCACTAGATCTGGCAGACACTTAGGTAAAGATACACCGGCTACATGCAGTCAGTTTCCATTCCTAGAATTATACATGGGAAACAGTTTAGCTTGAATCATGTAGATGAAAACATAGCTTAAAATGGGAATTTCACTAGATGACATTATAAACATCAGATTCCACCATTTTGTGACATTTGGCCCCAATGTCCCTGCACCACTCCATTCAACTTCAGTTAAAGTCCACATAATTAGTTATGAATGCATTATTCTACTTTGTTGAATATACAAAGAGGTCCTTCTATAGGAGCGAGAGAAGCTGGCAGGTGGGGCTGATACTAGCCCAGATTTAGGAATTGCTAATGCAATCTCATGATCATTGAAGGAAGGAAAATACCTAACAGGTGAAGATGGAGGTGGAGCTGGGCTTGTTTGGGAGTGAATTAGGACATGTGAAAGAGGGCAGCTCCACCCTAAGATGGACCATTATAACCGCTATAAAAAGGCCACATCCCCAACAGACAGCACCCTGGAAGCTGCTTCAGTCTACATCCTGCTTGTCTCTCAGGCCACTAGGTAAGTGAGCAGAACTTGAGGCTTCTGTATTTGAAGCAAAGAGATACCATCCCTGCTGTACTCTTGTCCGTTTCTCTTCCCTTGCCTCTTCACCTCAGAGTCTTTAGGATATTTACTAATCTCCACCAATTTTTTTAAGTTTTTACATTATCAAGTTGTCTACCACAAAATGTCCAGTATTTGTATTTGTAGTTCTGCCTTCCTTTGCTCGCATAATTCTCTCCACTTCCTGATTATGTTTAAGATGGCTGCACTTCATCCTTTCTTCAGTCTAGGTAATTCCCCATGTATGGATACATCTATCTTTTAATCTAGTCATGCCTATGTGTACTGTTAGGCAGCTCCCATGTCGTAACAATTGCAAATATGCCGCTAAAACCATTGTGAAGATACGGGGGGCTCTGCTGAAAGTTTCATATTCCAAGAATATATGCCCAACAGTGGGATTCTGTCCACTAGCATTGCATTTTTAGATTTTAACCTAAATCCAGATAGCTTTCCATAATATTTTCACCAGTTCACATTCCAACATTGTAAAAGTGTTTCCTCTCTCCACATCTGGTCCAGCACTATGTCAGGGGGTCTGTCAAATATATTCCATTCTCACAGATGTGAAGTGGTATCTCATTGCAATTTTAATCTGAATATTTCCTATTAGAAGTGATGATGAACCTTTCTTCATGTATCTTTTGACCTTTGGATATCCTCTTCAGTGAAAGTCCATTCATATCTGCTGTCCATGTTTTAATGGGGTTTATATATTTATTCTTGAATTGCAGTCTCTGACAAATTGTGGGTAGTACTCACTTATCAGCTATATAATTGTATGATGAATTTACCCCATTCAGTAGGGTGTCTTTAATTGTCTCGTACTTTCTTTCCCAGATTAGAATTTTTAAACTGATGATAGTCCCAACTGTTTGTTTTATTTTTAACTCTTTCAGAAGTTAACTCACCAAATATATCTTCATTTCTGATATCATGGAACACATCACCATTGATTCATTCTTCCTGGGGCAGACCTTAGAGCTTTAACCTATTTGGAGTTTATTTTTGTGCGTGGAGTCAATGAGCAACCAACTTCATACATTTATGTGTGGCTTTCAATTACCCCATCACCATTTTTAAAGAGATTGTCATTTGGGGATAATTTTCAAAAAAATCCCTAGGCTATGCCCACTAGACATGTTGGCTTCTTCAGTCTTGAACTTTCTCTCTCTGTTCTGTAGTCAGAAGAGCCTGACAGTCAGTTCTTCCTTGGAAAATGAGAACAGACTGAGTCTGAAGCAAGCTACCCCAAGCTCCCTATCACTGAGGCCTGTGGTTGTCTTTCCCTAGATTGTTTCTTTCTCTAACCTAGAAGGCTTAAGGAGTGGCAGCCAGGCACATCAAAGACGATGGCCATGTCCCTCCATAGCGAGACAGTTGGGACCCAGAAAGGAACTGAGGAAATGGATAAATCAATAAACCCACAATTTCTAAAGCTCCAGAACAAAAAGTTCATAGAGTAACCCTGGTAGAAGCAGGAAGCCCAAAGGAGAAAGTCAGAGCTCCACATTCTGTTCCTAAATTCATCGCTTTCTTGCCACATGGCTTGTTAAAATCATTCAACAATGAATTGGCTCTTGATTACAACAGGATATAATTAAACATCCCTTACTGATTAAAAACAATTATTAAAAATGATCACAACTATTTATTTATGAAAGAAAAAGAATAAAAAATGATGGATAGCTCTATGCCCTCATTTCTCCATAGGTCAATTAAATTTACAAAAAGATGCCTAAACTCCTACAAAGCATGGTCACTGTCATCGACCTCTTCTACGAATATGCCAGCCAGGATGGAGAGTGTGGCATGTTACAGAAGGAAGAAATGAAGGCACTTTTGGAAAATGAGTTTCATCAAATTATGAAGGTAATGACTCCATGTCAGGACTGAAGACAGATGCAATTTTCTGCTTTTCGCTTCCTACCTTCTGGTCACATAACAAACTCCTAGACAATTCTCTGTACTTCTTGATTAGGAACAGAGTTTGGTAAAAGCATGAAATAAGGTAGGCATTCACTTGTAAGTTTTCTATAACATGACCAAGGGAAGAGATCCTTGTAATCACCTGCTGAAATCCAGAAATTGAATAATAACCTTTCTATGTGAGGGATTCCTATAGAACTGAAACTGAGACAGTCCTTAGAAAAACTGCAAGTGAAATGCATCTTGTTGTCTTCCTTTGTCTTTCTTCAACACGAAAATCCTGACCACTACCCATTTTGAGATTCTGCTACCTAATATGCTAACAAGGAAATTAGTTCATACTTCTAAATCATAACACAATCAGACTATGATCACAAAGATGTCAGTTCATAAAACAGTAATTTGGGAACATAGGTCTAGCTTTTGAAATTCAATAATATAAACACAGCAGCCTGGTGATTATTTTTTTAGATTCCTATGGGTGTCTTAAGGTCAATGTATCAGATACAAAACTCATGATTTTCCTCATGAATGCCTTACTCTTGCTTGCCCAAGGCAGATATCAGGTGCCATTCTAACTTCCTCTCTCAAAGCACCCCCTACTTAATCAATAATCTCAACTGGGCCAATTCCACTCCATCACTATTGCTAGTCCACTGGTTGAGGGCAACCCCTTCTTCCATCTCAGCACTGGATACAAATATAATCATGTCACAACTCAATTCAAAATCTTTCAATTGCTCCCAGCTTTCAAAAAAATGTTCAAAGTTTCTTTACAAAACTTAAAGGCATTATCTGCTCCCAACATATCTCTGCTGAAAATGAATATACAAACCTGAATTGCTTCCCATTCCTGTATGTGCCTTCTCTCCCTTCCAATTCATTGTTCACATTCTCCCCTGTACACAGTCTTTTGCACTCCTGTCCTTCAGCCTTTCATTTGGATAACTGAAGACATCTTCAAGACAGATCACTTCCTCTATAACCCTCTTAAATCCCAGTGATAATCTCCTGGTGTCCTCTAATAGACCCATTAAAATAGCTAGTTACTAATACCATCTTGTAGTTACAACTTCTAGCCTTTTCTCATGGCATCATTCATTGAATTCTTTCTTTCTCTCACTCTAGACAAGATAGGTAAATCCAGCCTAATGGCCTATGTGGTAGAGCTCTACCTAACTAGGCAACTACTTCCATTGGTACAGCATTCTTTCAACTGGTTAGCTAGAGGAAGTCCATACTGACAGAACTGCCCTTTGTATCTTGTTCCCAACCAGAATCCAGATGATCCAGACACTGTAGACATCATCATGCAAAGCCTGGATCGAGACCGTAACAACAAAGTGGACTTTACTGAGTATCTTCTGATGATATTCAAGCTGGCACAGGCTTGTAATAATATCATCAGCAAAGATTGCTGCCAAGCTCCAGGGTCAAAACAGAGACACCACAGTCACTGGCAGCAAGGGGAACAGAGTGAAACAGAAGATGAGGACAAAACACAAAGAAGGTCTTCCACTCATTCAAGTTGTAATACAGGAGAGAGTGATTCCTATTCCAGGGGCTGCAGAGGGATCACTAAACACAGGCCTGGATCCAGCTGTGGAAGAAAGGAGCAGCAAAGAGACCGGTCTAGTTCTGGGAACAGGCAAAGCTCTGGGGAAAGGAGAGAGTCAAGCTCAGGACACCTCAAGGATAGTAGGAAAAACAAACATGGCTCTCATCAGCAAGGGTCTAGGAGTGAAGGAGTTGGTTATAATCATTCAAGCAACTGCAGAAAAAGATCAAACTCAGCAAATCAGTCAGAGAGTAGTGGAGAAGAAAGGAATGCATACCCTTCAGAGGATCAGTCTTATAGTTCCGACCAATACTGTTCTGACTCAAATGAATCCTCACGGGATAGACAACATAAGAAGAAATCAGGACAATCCCCTTGTAGGCAGCATCATGGATTTACCTCAGGGAGTTGTGGAGGACAAGACCACAGGTCAAGTTCAAATGAAACTACCAGTTGTGGTCAGGGGTCTGGCTCAGGTCAGTCCTCTCAGAGACGGCCAAAGTCAAATGCAGGATCACAATCAGGGAAAAGTGAAGAACAAGGATACTGTTCGAGTTCTAGTGAGAGTTGTGGAAAACATAGGCGTGAATCCAGTTCAAATATGCATTCAGGGAATGGGGGGAAACAACAAGGATCTGGCTCCTCCAAGTCCTCAAGTTGTGAACAATATGGGTCTCATTCAGGTCAGTCAGCACACTACGGATGTTCAAACTCCGGTCATTCTTCCGGTCAGAAGCAACACACATCCACTTCAAGTGCACAATCAGGACTTAACAGACAGCAAAAAGATGGTTGGGAATCAAGACGGTGTTCAAGCTCTGAAGAATATGGGTCTGAATCAGGCCAGTCCATAAGCAGTGGCAAAAATCAATCAAGTGTCTACAAGCCCTCTACTCAGAAAAAACACAGCACAAGTACTACTCATGGTGACCAAGAGTCTGGATCTAGAACATCTTCTAGCTGTGGCCAATGTGGTTCTGGCTCCAGTCATTCTATGCAGAAACACCATGAATCCAACTCAGGTGGCCAATCAAGTAGCTGCGGAAGACAACATGGTTCGGGAGTAGGACAATGCTCCAATTATGGAAAACACGGATCTGGCTCTAATCAATCTTCATCTCATAAAAAGCATGAGTCTAGTACAGGATCCAGTTTAGGTGACTCATCCAGCTGTGGAAAACATGCATCTGGGTCTGGTCAGTCTTCTGGCAATGGACAACATGGGTCCACTCAAGGACAACAAGGGTCTAGCTCAGGTCAGACATCGACCTGTGGCCAAAATGGAACTGCATTAGGCCAGGCCTCTAGTTCCACACCTGGACAGTCATCAAGCTCTGAACAACATGGACATAATACTGGTCAGTCTTCTGGATGTGCACGACAAGGGTCCAGACAGTCTATTAGCCATAGACAACAAGGCTCTGAATCACGTCAGACCTCCACTTGTGGACGACATGGTTCTGGATCAGGTCACTCTTCCAGCTGTGGCCAACATGGATCTAGCTCCAGTCAGTCTTCTCACTATGGACAACAAGGGCCCACTCAATCACCTAGTCAGAGAAAACACGGTTCTCGTTCACCTCAGTCGTCTGGCTCTGGACAACATGGATCTGGCTCAGGACACTGTTCCAACTGTGGCCAACAGGGATCCAGCTCTGGTCAGTCTTCTGGCTATGGACAACAGGAGTCAAGTCAGTCTTCGAGTCACAGGAGACGTGGGTCTAGTTCCAGTGAGACTTCTAGCTGTGGCCAGCATAGCTCTGGATCAGGTCAGTCCTCCACTTATGGACAACATGGCTCTGGATCAGGCAATTCATCAAGCCGTGGCCAACAGGGATCGAGCTCTAGTCAGTCTGCTGGCTATGGACAACAAGGGTCCACTCCATCTTCCAGTCACAGACAACAAAGCTCGGGTTCAGGTCAGTCCTCCAGTTCTGGTCAATGTGGGTCCAGCTCAGGTCAGTGTTCTAGAGGCAAGCAAGAAAGTTCGGGATCAGGTCAGTCTTCTAGCTGTGGCCAACATGGATCTGTATCTCGTGAGTCTGCTAGCTATGGACAACATGGATCGACTCAGTCTTCGAGCCATAGACAACATAGCTCTGGTAATATTCAGTCCCCTAGTCCTGTTCAAGATGGGTCTGCATCAGGTCAATCTTCCAGCTGTGGCCAACACAGCTCTAGCTCTGGTCAGTCTTCTGCCCCTCGTAAAAATGAGTCAAGTCAGTCTTCCAATTCTGGGGACCACGGATCAAGTTCAGGTCAGTCTTCTACCTGTGGAAAACATGGTTCTGCATCAGGCCATTCTTCTAGCTCTGGCCAAGACAAGTCAAGTCAGTCTTCAAGATATAGACTACATGGGTCTAGCTCAGGTCAGTCTACAAGCTGTGGCCAACATGGTTCTGGATCAGGACAGGCATCCACTAATGGACAACATGGCTCTGGATCAGGCCATTCCTCTAGCTGTGGCCAACATGGATCTAGCTCTGGTCAGTCGTCTGGCCATGGTCAACATGGGTCAAGTCAGTCTTCAAGTCACAGGCGACAGAAGTCTAGTTCAGGTCAGTCTTCCACCTGTGGCCAACACAGTTCTGGAACGAGTCAATCTTCTAGCTGTGGTCAAGATAAGACAAATCAGTCTTCAAGAAATAGGCAACATAGGTCTAGTTCAGGTCATTCTTCCAGCTCTGACCAACATGGTTCTGGATCTGGTCAGTCCTCTAGCTCTGGTCAGCCTAGGTCCAGCTCAGGTCACTCTTCTCGCTGTGGCCAACAAAGATCCAGTTCTGGTCAAAATTCTGGCCATGGTCAACATGAGTCAATTCAGTCTTCGAGTCATAGGCAACATGGGTCTAGTTCAGGTCAGTCTTCTACCTGTAGCCAGCATGGTTCTGGATTGAGTCAGTCTTCTAGCTGTGGTCAAGACAAGTCAAGTCAGTCTTCCTCTAATAGGAAACATGGCTCTAGTTCAGGTCATTCTTCCAGCTCTGGCCAACATGGTTCAGGATCTGGTCAGTCCTCTAGCTCTGGTCAGACTGGGTCCAGCTCAGGTCACACTTCTAGCTGTGGCCAACACAGATCCAGTTCTGGTCAAAATTCTGGCCATGGTCAACATGCGTCAAGTCAGTCTTCGAGTCATAGGCAACGTGAGTCTAGTTCAGGTCAGCCTTCTAGCGGTGGCCAACATGGCTCTGGATCAGGTCAGTCTTCAAGCTGTGGCCAACAAGGATCTATATCTCCTGAGTCTGCTAGCTATGGACAACATGGATCAACTCAGTCTTCGAGCCATAGACAACATGGCTCTGGTAACATTCAGTCCCCTAGTCCTGTTCAACATGGGTCTGCATCAGGTCAATCTTCCAGCTGTGGCCAACACAGCTCTAGCTCTGGTCAGTCTTCTGCCCCTGGTAAAAATGAGTCAACTCAGTCTTCCAATTCTGGGGACCACGGATCAAGTTCAGGTCAGTCTTCTACCTGTGGAAAACATGGTTCTGCAGCAGGTCATTCTTCTAGCTCGGGCCAAGACAAGTCAAATCAGTCTTCAAGACATAGACGACGTGGGTCTAGTTCAGGTCAATCTTCCAGCTGTGGTCAACACAGCTCTAGCTCTGGTCAGTGTTCTGCCCCTCGTAAAAATGAGTCAAGTCATTCTTCCAATTCTGGGCATCACGGATCAAGTTCAGGTCAGTCTTCTAGCTGTGGGAAACATGGTTCTGCATCAGGTCAGACCTCCACTTATGGACAACATGGTTCTGCATCAGGCCATTCTTCTAGCTCTGGCCAAGACAAGTCAAGTCATATTTCCAGTAATAGGCAACATGAGTCTAGTTTAGGTCAGTCTACCAGCTGTGGCCAACATGGTTCTGGATCAGGTCAGGCCTCCACTAGCGGACAACATGGCTCTGGATCAGGCCATTCCTCTAGCTGTGGCCAACATGGATCTAGCTCTAGTCAGTCATCTGGCCATGGTCAACATGAGTCAAGTCAGTCTTCGAGTCATACACGACAGGAGTCTAGTTCAGGTCAGTCTTCCACCTGTGGCCAACACAGTTCTGGAACGAGTCAATCTTCTAGCTGTGGTCCAGACAAGTCAAGTCAGTCTTCCTCTAATAGGAAACATGGCTCTAGTTCAGGTCATTCTTCCAGCTCTGGCCAACATGGTTCTGGATCTGGTCAGTCCTCTAGCTCTGGTCAGCCTGGGTCCAGCTCAGGCCACTCTTCTAGCTACGGCCAACACACATCCAGTTCTGGTCAAAATTCTGGCCATGGTCAACATGCATCAAGTCAGTCTTTGAGTCATAGGCAACGTGAGTCTAGTTCAGGTCAGCCTTCTAGCTGTGGCCAACATGGCTCTGGATCAGGTCAGTCTTCTAGCTGTGGCCTACATGGCTCTGGATCAGGTCAGTCTTCTAGATGTGGCCAACATGGATCGACTCAGTCTTCGAGCCATAGACAACATGGCTCTGGTAACATTCAGTCCCCTAGTCCTATTCAACATGGGTCTGCATCAGGTCAATGTTCCAGCTGTGGCCAACACAGCTCTAGTTCTAGTCAGTCTTCTGCCCCTGGTAAAAATGAGTCAACTCAGTCTTCCAATTCTGGGGACCACGGATCAAGTTCAGGTCAGTCTTCTACCTGCGGAAAACATGGTTCTGCAGCAGGTCATTCTTCTAGCTCTGGCCAGGACAAGTCAAATCAGTCTTCAAGACATAGACGACGTGGGTCTAGTTCAGGTCAATCTTCCAGCTGTGGCCAACACAGCTCTAGCTCTGGTCAGTCTTCTGCCCCTCGTAAAAATGAGTCAAGTCAGTCTTCCAATTCTGGGCAACACGGATCAAGTTCAGGTCAGTCTTCTAGCTGTGGGAAACATGGTTCTGCATCAGGTCAGACCTCCACTTATGAACAACATGGTTCTGCATCAGGCCATTCTTCTAGCTCTGGCCAAGACAAGTCAAGTCATACTTCCAGTAATAGGCAACATGGGTCTAGTTTAGGTCAGTCTACCAGCTGTGGCCAACATGGTTCTGGATCAGGTCAGGCCTCCACTAGCGGACAACATGGCTCTGGATCAGGCCATTCCTCTAGCTGTGGCCAACATGGATCTAGCTCTAGTCAGTCATCTGGCCATGGTCAACATGAGTCAAGTCAGTCTTCGAGTCATATGCAACAGGAGTCTAGTTCAGGTCAGTCTTCCACCTGTGGCCAACACAGTTCTGGAACTAGTCAATCTTCTAGCTGTGGTCAAGACAAGTCAAGTCAGTCTTCCTCTAATAGGAAACATGGCTCTAGTTCAGGTCATTCTTCCAGCTCTGGCCAACATGGTTCTGGATCTGGTCAGTCCTCTAGCTCTGGTCAGCCTGGGTCCAGCTCAGGCCACTCTTCTAGCTGTGGCCAACACAGATCCAGTTCTGGTCAAAATTCTGGCCATGGTCAACATGAGTCAAGTCAGTCTTCGAGTCATATGCGACAGGAGTCTAGTTCAGGTCAGTCTTCCACCTGTGGCCAACACAGTTCTGGAACGAGTCAATCTTCTAGCTGTTGTCAAGACAAGTCAAGTCAGTCTCCCTCTAATAGGAAACATGGCTCTAGTTCAGGTCATTCTTCCAGCTCTGGCCAACATGGTTCTGGATCTGGTCAGTCCTCTAGCTCTGGTCAGCCTGGGTCCAGCTCAGGCCACTCTTCTAGCTGTGGCCAACACAGATCCAGTTCTGGTCAAAATTCTGGCCATGGTCAACATGAGTCAAGTCAGTCTTCGAGTCATATGCGACAGGAGTCTAGTTCAGGTCAGTCTTCCACCTGTGGCCAACACAGTTCTGGAACGAGTCAATCTTCTAGCTGTGGTCAAGACAAGTCAAGTCAGTCTTCCTCTAATAGGAAACATGGCTCTAGTTCAGGTCATTCTTCCAGCTCTGGCCAACATGGTTCTGGATCTGGTCAGTCCTCTAGCTCTGGTCAGCCTGGGTCCAGCTCAGGCCACTCTTCTAGCTGTGGCCAACACACATCCAGTTCTGGTCAAAATTCTGGCTATGGTCAACATGCATCAAGTCAGTCTTCAAGTCATAGGCAATGTGAGTCTAGTTCAGGTCAGCCTTCTAGCTACAGCCAACATGGCTCTGGATCAGGTCAGTCTTCTAGCTGTGGCCAACATGGATCTAGCTCTGGTCAGTCTTCTGGCTACGGACAACATGTGTCCACTCAGTCTTCAAACCATAGACCTCATGGCTCTATTTCAGGTCAGTCCTCCAGATCTGGCAAACATGGGACTGGATTAGGTTCATCCCCTACTTCTACTTCAGGACCGTCATCAAGCTGTGGCCAACATGGATCTAGCTCTAGTCAGTCTGCTGGCTATGGACAACAAAGTTCTACTCGATCATCTAGTCACAGACAACGAAGCTCTGGTTCAGGTCAGTCCTCTAGTTCTGGTCAATGTGTGTCCAGCTCAGGTCAGTGTTCTAGCGGTGAACAAGAAGGTTCTGGATCAGGTCAATCTTCTAGCTCTGGACAACATGGATCTAGCACTGGTCAGACTTCTGGCCATGGAAAACAGAGGTCCACTCAATCATCTACCCAGAACCAACAAAGCTATGGTTCAGGTCATTCCTCTAGCTCTGGTCAACGTGGGTCCAGCTCAGCTCACTCTTCTAGCTGTGGCCAACATGGATCCAGCTCTGGTCAGTCTTCTGGCTATGGACTACATGAGTCAAGTCAGTCTTCAAATCATAGGCAATATGGGTCTAGTGCAGGTCAGTCTACTAGCTGTGGTAAACATGGTTCTGGATCAGGTCAATCCTCTAGTGGTGGCCAACATGGATCTAGCTCTGGTCAGTCTTCTGGCTATGGCCCACATGGTTCTGGAACTGATCAGTCTTTTAGTAGTGGCCAACATGGATCTACCTCTGCTCAGTCGTCTGCTTGTGGACAAGCTGGGTCCACTCAGTCTTCTAGCCATAGACAACAAGGCACTGGTTCAGGTCAATCCTCAAGCTCTGGCAAACTTGGTTCTGGGTCTAGACGGTCCTCTAGTTATGGGCAACATGGTTCTACTTCAGGACAGTCATCAAGTTGTGGACAACATGGATCTAGCTCTGGTCAGTCTGGTCATGGTCAACGTGGCTCAAGTCAGTCTTCCAGCCATCAACAACATGGCTCTGGCTCTGGCCCGTGTTCAAGCTGTGGCCACTATGGGTCTGGATCCGGTCAGTCCTCCAGCTCTGGACAACATGGATCTAGCTCAGGTCAGTCTACTTATGGTCAACATGGCTCTGGTCAGTCTTGTAGCCACAGCCAATATGGGTCTGGCTCATTTCAGTCTTCCAGCTGTGGCCAACAGGGATCAGGCTCAGCTCCATCCTCTACCTATGATCAACAATGGTCCAGTTCAAGTCATTCTTCTAGCCATAGCCAACCTAGTTCTGGCCCTGAAAAATATGGGGCTGATTCACGTCACTCCTCCACCTCTAGGCAATGTGGCTCCAGATCTCGTCAGAATTCTGGCTCTGACCAGTCTGGATCTGGCTCATATCATTCATCTTGCTCTGAACAAGGTGGTTATGGATCTGATCAATCTTCTAGTTATGACAAGCAAGAATGCCAAGGGAGAAGTAGGTCAAGTTCAAGTGGAACTCATGATGAGTACAGTAGACCCAAAAGGGGCTCAACCCCCAATCAATCCAGGAGAAGTAGCCAGGAGTGGTCAGAGTACAGTCAAAATGAAAGAAGTGGCACTGATAGTGAGTCTGATGGATGTGAGAGAACCAATAGACCGTCAAGAACATGGAGTCAAGGAAGTCAAGGAAGCAGTCAGGGTCAGTGGGAATCTGGGTGTAGCCAGTCAAAGAGTAATCAAGAAGGACAATCAAGAAGGGGTTCCACACAACTAGGAAGCTCCTCAGGTTGTGGCTCTGGACAATTCACACCCTCCTCTGGACAGTCTACATCCAACACTACCACTACACTAATTCGCAAGGGAGATAATTTACAAGGCGGCTATAGTTATCAGAGATGGGCAGGTAACTATGGAGGGGGAAGTATCAGTTCAAGTTCCCATGGTGTCTGCAGTAGCACGCCACTCTATGAATATGTCCAAGAACAGAGGGGCTAGATTTAGAGATGAAAAGTAAACTCAAGTAACAATGTAAAAAATGTAACACAAGCAATGTAGACAAAGCAATTCATTAGGAACCTTCTTTCTGATAGTGCATATATTTGGTTTGTTCTTTTTCTTTTAAATATGTAACTGTACTCTATCCTTTTTATTGGGGTCCTTCAAAAGAATGTAAGGGTTTGGGCTACTTTGTTGGGAAAATTCTGTTTGGATAATGCGTGGGACATAATTTGGAAGAATAATGAAGAAGCCTTTAAAGAACGTGGGGTTCAGTTCAGTTCTTTTTGAGAGTTCACTGCTCGTTACCGATGTCAAACTAAGCTCACATCTTTAAAGGGCAAAATGTTATCAATTCATTACCACTTCTGGAGGCAAAAGAGAAGGAAAAACTGCATTTATAGAAATATGGACCAAATAATTTCAGGGGTGAGGCACATTTCAGTGGTGGTAGAACAAACAAGACCTAAAAGCACAGATACAGCAGTTGGTTTGCTTAGTAAAACCACCAAATGCCTACTCTTGGGTTTATCTTTAATCAGAAACCTAGCAAGAGGTATTAAAAAGTGACATGCAGCGCCGCTCCCTAGTCAGTGAGTGACAGCATTATTTCTTAAAGAGCAGGCATGGATCAGTTCAGGGTCCAAATGGGGGCTCTGATTTGGGTATGCAAAGGAAGAACTCAGCCCCTTCTCCTAAGAATTCCTCCAAGATGAAAATCTTTGGAAGCCCAATAGCATGCAAACACAATGGCTCCAACCTACTTCTGTAGTTCAGTGGCCTTTCTCCCAATGGGAAATACCCTTTGAACCCAATGGAAGAGAAGAGTGTCTGACACTGCCTATAGTTCCATAACTTGACTGTAACATCTATGTTTCACATCTTTTGTTCAAAAATAATTGGACTGCATTAAAATTGGCAATAAATAACAGTGATGAAATACTAGTTTCTCTCATCTCTCTTCATTTCACTTCCACTCGCCAGTGGTCAGCCAAGAAACAAACTCAAATAAATCACTAGGTTCCAAGTTCTCATCCTTCACAAACAACCCAGAAAATATAAGTAATTTTTCAATCAATAAAACAACTCAACCTTAAAATCAGCTAAAGATTTAATAGATGGGAAACCAAACAGAAAGACAGACTAAGGAAAATAATCATGAGAACTCAAAGTTATCAGTCATTAGAGGATTACAAGTTAAACACAATTAAAACATAAGAAGATGTTATCATGTACCCATTAGAATGTCAATTTTAAATACTGGCAACACCATGACTGGTAGCAGATAGCAAAATGAAAAGATAGAGTTAATTTGAAAACAGTGTACATTTTCTTATCAAGCCATATATACTTGACTAAAACCCACATCTACTCCTAGCTTAAATGGAAACATTTGCCCACATGAAGATTTCTCACATAAATCTTAATAGTACCATTAATAAATATATCCCCAAACTAAAAACAACCATCAGTCCACCAACCAATGAATAAAGAAAAAAAATATACAATGAAATGCAATACAAGAAAAAAAAATGAGCTTCTGCTACACATTAAATGGATGAGCCTCAGAAACATTACACTGAACAAAAGAAGTCAACTGCAAGAGTACCTACTGCATGATGCTATTTGATGAATCTTTAATAAGACAAATATAAGATTAAAAGTGATAAAAGGTTGACTAGGGCTGGGTATAGAACTTATGAATTGCCTAGTAAAAGGAACACAAGGCAATAAGGTGACAGAACTATTCTAACAGAAACATGTTTTTATCAAAACACATACAACTGTATATTGGAAATATATAAAACAGTTGCATTTGTTTCAGTTTCCATGCAGCTTTTGTGAAACTTGACACAAAATTCTGAAACTATATATAGAAGGGCAGGCTCA